TTTAAAATTTTCTTTGTTGATAATTTTCACAATTTTGTTCATCTCAACTGTTTCTTAGTTGTAAATTTGACTACTTTATTAGCATAGTAAGTAATTTTAATAGTTAAATATTCAGTTGTTTTTTCTATGTAATGATGACACAGATAATATAATCTGGTAGGTTTAACAAATTTTTAATTTATGTTGTTGAACTTATGCAAGATAGTACAATTTATTTAAATTTTGTTGTGATAATTTTACTCGTGTAACATATTTTAAAAGAATTGGCACTATGAGTGATATCGTGTTTGATAATAACGCATATAAGTGATGTTTTATTATCAAGCAGTATTTACAGATCAATGATGCTTTGTAAGCATACGAATGGCTATGAAAATCACTTTGAGTCATGGAAGTTCAGTATTTCACACATTTTATGTTTACCCTCTTTAATATTAATAACTGATAGTTGAATGTCATTTTCCTCAGACAGACACAACGCTATCACCAACTAACATAAATTTTTTTCTTTATTTGTAAGATTTTAATTTTTTTACATATAAAGTAATTTATGAAAGGCCGTTAGGCATTGAAAAAGTGCCGACAATCTTAGGAATAGTCATACTAGAATATTTTTATATGATATTATATGATATTCGTTTAAAGTTAATTCGTAATAATTTCAAACGACTTCTTAAAAATCCAATTTTATTATCACTTTAGTTTTTAACAAAGAATAAATAAAGGTAAACTACATTGATAAAATTATTATTTGTAAATGTTAATTCTCATGTTATTCTGAGAACAAGGTAGTTTTTCGTAATAGTATCTAATTTTTTCACATTCGTTACATTATAATAATTACTTCATGTTAAATATAATTCATAACATTATATCAGGTTATTAATATGGTTGGAATTATCTAATTAGATTTTTATCAATATGGAAGCAAATGTGAAGTTATTTTTAATGTGTTTGTTACAATAGCTACATGTTCTGTTAGATAGGTATAAAGTCGTTTTTAAAGTCAATAAAATAAACTAATTGTAAAATCTAATTTTCTTACCTTAGTATAGTCGTTGATTATCATATAAATTGTACTTTGTGTCCGATTATGTTATATAATTATATTTACCTACAGTAAATCAAATAAATTAGTTAATAAATGAATATCACACAAATAATTATAATGATCGCACGTCATGTCTACAGCTAGTATATCGCCATTTTAAGATTAGTTAATTTAATTGATTAATGTTTCTAGTCTTTAAAATATTATTTTATTAATGTTAGTCCATTATGACTATAAGTTATTAATTAGACTTATTATACTGATTTAACTTGAGGGTGAAATTAGGCAGCTTGAATTAGTCTCTTGGTTCAAAAGTATAAACTTTTCTTTGCACCTTTATACAATATTTTTTTATATTTCTTGATTTTAAGGATTTATTTCTCGAGCTCAAATTTTACTATTAAATTCCAATTATAATATTTTACTTAGTTCTTTCAAATGAATTCTCCTTCTCCTTCTTTCTATTCTACTCTTTCTCTTCGTCTATCAATAGCCGATGAATATAACCACTGAACACTGTCAAGAAGAATTCCTTGTGTCCAGCCCGTTCGTTAAGCTGGATACGTGTAGTTTTCCGGATTTTTTTTACTTATCTAAGACCCTGTCAGTTTTCCATAGAAAGACACTACTCTTTGGCAGATAGCTAATAAGTTGCTTTATCTAATCAATCCAATCCAATCCTCTTCCGTTTCCATATTTTTCTTCTGTGAGAATCAAACAAAACGAAGAAAAGCAACCCAATGATGATCGATAAGATCATCATTGGGTTGCTTTTCTTCGTTTTTTTTAGATCAGAAAGTTGACATATCATCGACTTTATCAGAAGTCGGAATATGTCAACTTTCTGATCCGAAAGAGTGTCAACTTACGCTTTCTCAGAGTCGATCGTGACTCTTATAACACTCTTCCCTCGATTCTTATTTACCTCGGGGGAATTTGCACCTTTGAATATGACAAAGAATGGTCAATTTTAATCAGTCGCAGAACGTTCTTCAAGCTTTTAAGATCTGTGCCAGTATGCTATTATCTCTCTCAGGTTCGTTTGTGTGCCTCCTTTGTATATCTGCGATGTGTTTCTATGGATCCTTCGGATTTCTCGTCACCCTTTGTGGTTGTGTGCTATTTCTGTCCAACAACTGGAAACTTCGCCACAACGAGAACTGTTAATCGACATCAAAGACTGATTTCCTGCGCTCCTCGACGCGACGTGAAGATTTCTAGTTCAGATTCGTAAGATACTGGAATTTTTAAACTTTTTCTCTTAGCACTGATAACGCGCGTAACACTATAATACTTAAATGTGTAACTTACTGTAGGAACTTTCGTGTCGTCAAATAATGTTTAAGTGTAGTTAACTGTGTCGAGTGAATTCTTCAAACTGTATCTCGTCATTCCTTGCTCCATTCTCTTGCTCCTACTCTCATATATACGAGCCGCGTCGTTGGCATCCATGAAAACGCTCAAAAAACTCTAGTAGTAGGCGTAACCTTCTTGGTATCAGAGTTTTCCCAATGTAATCACTTACATTCAGTGATAAAAAGACCGTAAAGGCGGTAGCCAGCTCACAACTGGTGCCAAATAGGCCATCCTGGTTCTCACATTCATTTCCTTCTTTATCACATCTTCTGCTTTTTACAAAATCTTTCAAAGTTAATTTAGGGAAAAATTATATAGCATTTTTCTAACAACATTAAATCCCATTACTTCTACATCAATGAATCATTTTAAGTGCGGTAGATGAGTAGAACAAATAATGATTTCTAAAAGAATAAATTTTTCCATAAATATAAATATTTTAAAATAAATTTCTATAATCTGATCTGTAGATGAATGGTAAGCAAAACAAAATTCAAACGTTTTATTATTAGGTTTCTTATTGCTCGTAGTTAATTTTATGAAAATATTTAAGAAAAAACAATCATCCATAAGAAAAATGCTTCAGAATCATGATGCATAATTTACTAATTGTTAGTTGAATATTCTGATAATATAATAAGGAAATCGTGATTCCCAAACGAGTACTTATTTATGAATTGGCTATTTTTTAGAACTTAAGAATATTTTAAATGTAGAAATGTAAGCATTTTGCTGAAATTTATAGCGTTTTAAATTGCTGTCTGCAATTTTTCAAATTCGGGTTCTGCATCAATTAAGAAATAATCACAGATAAGAGAATAATAGAAAGAAATAATTTCAATAAAAAGTCTGTTGAGAGATAAGAAGAGTAGCAAATTATCGATTGACGATTCTAAAGAACCTTGAAAGAGTGTAATTATTTATCACTTTCTTTAATCAGAAATGTGCTAAATATTCTTTAAGGAATAAATAAATTATTTTTTTGGTATTTAAGTCAAGAAGAATATGTACAGTACAGTACACTTTTACTATTTAATAGTTTTAAAAACAGAAAAGTAACCAAATTAAAATTCAAGATTAATAAAATAAAAAAATATACTTAATTACAATCACATGCGCATAGATTATATAATAAACCAACTTATATTATAGTTTATTTCTGTTTGTCATAAAATTAAAAGGTGAAATATTGGAAAAATGTTAATTAATTACAAGCAAATTGGATGTTTTGATTACTTCTTTTTAAGAGACTAAAAGACTCGAAAGTAGAAGATAAAAGTCGGGACTTTCTATCGAAACCAGATTGGATTGATGAAATAAGGCGACGCAATATATGGGCGATTTGCCAGGGCAGAATGCCCGGCAAGAGGACTCTCTATCGAAAACTAGCCCCTATTTAGGTATTAGATATATAAGGTAAACCCGGAAAGCCATCTCGCGGCCAGCCTTTGGTAAGGAACTTGCTACCAAATACTAGAGTTCAAGTGATCGGCCAAGATTTCAGTTGCCTACTCGGTCACTGATGAGAACAAACAAGTCAAATTGAATAAATTGCTTTAAATGATTTAAGTTTACTGTAAAGGTTAGAAAATAATATGATTTTACTTTTTAATTGCGTGAAAATTATAAATTATAAGTAAAAGTGGTAGATTGTTTTGTTTCATCCCCTGAATTCTTTCTATTGTTTAAAAGTCAATTTCATATTAATACATACATCAATGTACAGTACTAGAATAAGGATAATCATGTTTACGACATTAAATTTAATGGTAACATTAAAATATGCAAAAATAAAAAAAACACAAATTTTTTCAAGTTCTTCGAAATATTGAAAAACTGATATAAAAATATTGAATTTCTCAATACATCAAAGAATTTTGAAGAAATCGGTTTTCCAATATAGTGTTTCGGCTCGGTTGTGAGGTAATTGACTATCAAATGTTGGAAAGGATCCAAGTCTGAAATCGATGTGAAATTTAAATTTGCCCCAACTGGATCAGGCCTTCTAGCCGAGGGTGAAGGGTTTAGAAGTTAGAATCTTACAATTAATTTCGTAAGGACTTTCGGAAAATTCAATTTACTGTCTCACTCAATAGTACGGTAAATTATCTGATAATAGATGATTGATTAGACTGATTTAACCAATATGTAATTAAGTTTGTGGAAATTAAGTGGAGACAAAAATAAAATTCGAGTTAGCAAGAATTCCGATTTTAAGTGGCTCGTATCTATTGTAATAATAAAATAATTACTTGATAATATTATTTACAATTTTTATTTAGATAAGAATGTTAATACATTTTCGAAAATTTTAATTGAGTAATTTTAAAGTTTAGGAAAATTATTTGACATTATTTTTCTGAAATTATTTCCGATTTAAGAGGTTTAAATGAATTTAGAATATTTTAGTAATTATTTAATAAATGAAATTTAATAAATATTCTAATTATATTAGATAGAATTTTATTCTTGAAAATATTAAGAAATGCGAATTGTGAGCACAAAAATTCTACGTATTTAATAGTTAATTATAATAATTCAGGTATTAAAATGTTATTTTTATTTAAAGTGTTAAGCAATAATTGAACTTTTGTTTATAAAAAATTCAGAAACTATTTGTTGATCTACGGAGTTATATGTTACTAATAATGGTTTTCTGGCATTCAAAGCGTAGTGTTAAATTCTGGAGTAATATTATATTACTTTTTTTATTTATTAATTTAATATTTGGACAAGAAAAACAACTTCCAACTGCAAAAGAGACAGAATTTTCTCTTATAAAATCATTGCATATGGCTATTGATTGCAGAGATCTGAGGAATTGGAACCATGTAACCATAGGATTATCACCTACGCGTCTTATTCAAGTATATGCTCTAATCAAAAAGTTGAATAACGGTAAATCTATATTAAGCCAACTCTTATAACACTCTTAAATAAAAGTACATAATTTCTTAAAATATATTTTTTAGAGAAAAATTGTCAAACTAATAATTGGCATGACTTTCGATATTTTGACATTAATGATCCTTCGACTTGGGAATTCTGCATTGCTGGTTATTGTCGTGAGGTAAATATATAAATAGCTTTAATTATTTTATAATTTTACGGAGAATTCTATTTTAATCGTTACTAAAATCAGGGAAAATGCCAATGTATAACGATGATTGAAGGAGAAAACTGTATTATTTTTAATGGAAAATGCTGGATGGTATATTGCAATTTAACAGATTGCGACTCGAAAGAAGAAAAAGCTCTTTTGTGTGATTGTAATAGTAATTTCGATGCTTCAACTATGCATAGTGAGTGATATAATTTACATCTAATTAAAAAATATATATAAACTTATTAATTATGTAAGCAGAGTTTAAAATCTGCTACTCATTAGCACCACTCCCCTTAACTCCCCACATCTGGAATGGTCAAGAATTCGGAGAACTGAGGGGGACACGAAGGGGAAGAGATCGCTTGGTCAGGGGATAGAGGAGAGTAAGGTTCCCACCTTGCAGACGGGACATCTGAAAAACGGACGTTAAATTCATCCGTCCTTAGAATCACTGTTCCTTTTTGTTAAAGTTTAGCAGTCTGAATATTTGTAATATTACAAATTATAATAAATAATTAATACTAATGATAGATTTTATGTAGTTAAAATTATAAAGTAATCAAAAATTTCATTTTTTAAAGCAAAACTTTATTGGTATGACGAAGGTTTAGAGTCGACATTTATAGAACCTCCAGAGGATTGGGAAGATACGAAATTTATACATCGAATTAAATTAAACAATATTGGACCATTGGGTATCTATATATTAAATATAAATAAATATTGTATAGACCTAACTTTAAAAACTTTCTTTTATATAAAATCATTTATTTTTATATTTATCAGTCGAGAGAAATTATGAAAATCTACAGTTATCTGCTAGTGGAAAGTTTTCAATAATTGTACTGGGAGAAAACAAGTTTCTGAACTTAATATTTACAATTATTATTATTTATCAACAATTATCTATTACAGCAGTTTGAATAATAAAAATTCTATAAATTTGTATTAATATTACGTTTGCTACATAATATTATAATAAAAATTTAAATTATCAAAGCATTTTTAATGTAATGTACTAATTTCTATAATCTCATTACACATTTATATTATTGAGCAAATATTTTTAGATTGAATTAAATTATTTAATGAGATATTTACCTTACATTCCGATGCTTAGTCTAAAAATTGAAAATATGATTTTTTTATATTAATAGGAAATGCTATACCTTTCTATATACTTAGAGATATTTTTTATAATAATACTTATTAATGTATTATAATAACCCACTTACTAAACGCATTTTATATTATGTCATTTATTGTTTTAGCGTAGGAACCTGTTAGATTAAACTGCTCCAGGAGTTAATTAAATATTAATAAATATATATACAGTCAAACCTCGGTTTTAGATTTAATTTCTTCCTAAAAGTTGCTATAAACGTAAATAAATTTTCCCATGAGAAACAATATAAAATGGATTAATCCGTTCCTAACCCTCAAAGTAAAACTTTTTTTACTTTTTTGCTGTATTTCATGGTAAAAATGCCTACAAATGAAATATAATATATAATATAATACTATATTTTATATAATAAATTTTTAAATTTGATTTAAGAACCTTTAAACACGAATTCTTGGATTCCATTTATATTACGTCAATTAAAGCGGTTTTTATTAATTAATTTGATTTAAATTCAACTGCGGCGCGTACCGAAAAACGGAAGTCGTATCGTTCCCGCATGCGCATTGAAATGTAATTTAAATAACAACGTCATCGAAATTCGTATCGTGACGTCTAATGACACGGGCGATCTCAGAGCCACCAACTCCTGAATCGGTAGTCCTATCGCTGATTAGTTGAGTCGTCGACTTTCTTTAACATAGCAAGTATAGGGAGTTGACGGTCTGTGTCTCTCTAATCTGTAGTCGGCTCTTGCGAGTAGCTTGTTCGGCAACCGAGTTGTCGTACGGCAACCGAGATAAATATGAGTTCGGAATTTTGTTCGTGAACCGATTTGTTCTAAAAGTGATTATTTTTAAAACAGAAGTTTTACTGTATTGACATAAATATGTATAAAGACAATATATAAAAATAAAGTGAATAATTAATAATGAATACGATACAATTATATGCTCTATGCAGTTCAATCTATGAAATCTGTAATTATGAAGCTTAGAGAAAGCATCGACAATTGATCATGAATAGTAAAAAAAGTTTTAGAAAAATAATTATAGACTACAAAGCTTCAAACATAGATAGCTTTTAAAAAGCTAAAAAAATTAATAAGTTACATTAGATCACTTTACACTCAAAAGATTAGTTTTTTATTAAGATGAAAGACTACAAAACATATATATGTATAGTATATACAGTATATATATTTATTTATTTATTTAGTTAGTTAATTAGTTATTCTAGTGTAATGTTCATATTTGAATAACTACAAAAGAAACGATATAGTTTTATTTATATTTTAGTTTAATTGTAATTTTTATCAATTCAATTTTAATATTAAAAATTATAATTTAATAAATTTGATTATGATATAAATTGAATTGCTTAAGGAAAGGTGATAATATATACATACATATCAAAACTTTTTATTTTCCGTTAAACAATTTTCTATTCAAGCAACGAAAAATTATAACATTTTATGAAATTTTATTAGCAATGTTACATTACATTTTTTTTACAAATATACTTTTAAAATGTTAATGATATCTTATAGATATTTTAGCATTTATATAATATAACTAAATATTAATACTATATTTCTTCGATTACAGGACGCACTGTTAGAATCAAATCTTAAGATTTCCTTTTTTATAAAAGAAAACATTTTAAAAGTAACAATCATAATTATAATTGTAGAATTTAGAAATGTTGTTCTTTTCATCAAATTTTGCATTATATAACTCTATAATGTACTCGAAGTCATTTTTTGAGTAAAAATTTTTGTGTTCTTTATTACAACTGTAGAAAAAATTTTAATAGGAAAAAGGTAATTGTTGTAAACGTTTCTTTATACGTTGTAAACGTTTATATTATTCACACAGTATAAAATATTAAATGATAACATAAAAAATTAAAATATTAAAAAATTCTATCACTGCATTACTCTGCCATTTTACTTTCAAAACAGACATTTATATTAAAGTGTTCCTATTTGACTTAAATTACTCATTATATATTTTGCATTTCTTTAAGATCAAATAGCTTTTCTCCAAGGGCTCTAGAAGGACGAACACTTTAGCACAAATGGACCTGGTCGAACTCGTGATGGGTTTTGAAAAAGTCTTTTAGTTCCTAAAGGCGGAAAGAATCAAAAAAGCTTCGAAGTTGGACGTTTTTTAGCGAAAGAATGCGTAATTTCTCACTTTGCCACTTTGACAAGAGAAAAATAATTTCTTTATTGTTTTTTCTCAGGGCTTGTTTCTATATTAGATCGATCCACAATCTTAAATCTTTTATATTCTAAAGATCGATATACGTTTTGTACTTTTTATTATTGTTGTGAGCAGTGAACATATTATACATGACGAAAATATCCATTATGGCAGTTTAGTCCTACAATTGGATATTATATAACTGTGGATGAAAGAATGAAAACAATTCACTGTATTTTTATAATTAAAAAAAATATATATATGTGATTTAAAACACATTTTTACATTTTCCGTTTTTATGTCACACAACCTTTACACATTACCTAACATAATTTATATAATGCAACTTTTATTATGTAACAGAATAAATTATACTCTAAAATTACTGAAATATAAGTTATAATATGTTGTTTGTTCTATTCGGTGGATGATGTGATGTTTTAATTCTACATTTTATTGTGAAAATATTATCGTGATTTTACTTTTTATAACACTTTTATATAATCCATTCTACCCCAGTGTTAAGGTGTTGTTTGTATTTAGTTGAAAATAAGAGCTGGTTTATAATGGATTGTTAATTCATCTATTTTGCTGGAAACATTTTGTATTTCGTAATATGTGTCTCGTTAAAAATGTGTTCTTTAAACTTAAAATAATAATATTTCATTAAATTTTCCGTCCTTTACATTATTCTTTCTATCGTAAAATAGTAATTTAAAAACATAAGTAAATAAAAATAAGAATTATAATAATAATAAACTAAAGCTTAAAGCTGTTTCTTAAAAGCTAAAAATGTAAAATGAATATAGTTTAATATTTAACTCAAATATTTTTCTGATAAAGGAATAAATTCATTATGTAATTTTTATTTTTCTATATATATTTTAGGTTTTGAATAAAATTGTAATATAGTATAAAATTATTTTATTTTAATATTAGGTTTTTACTTACATCATCAATAAATCTTTTGAACTATTTATTAATAATAATTATAACCAGTAAATTTGAAATTATACATTTATTTAAAAACTGTAGCTTTTAACTTTATATTACATTTTCTAAGTATTTTTATTCATAATTAATACGGAGATAAATAAATAATTATATATATTTTATTTATTTATTTATTCAATTTCTCTTTGTACAAATTTTCTCTATATATGTATATAAAGAAAATCTGTACAAAGAGAAACTGGAAAAGTTGAAGCACATTTTCAACATTTCCTATATACTGGTACTTTTTATAAAAATTGGAAGTTTGACAATAAGGCCATCGACCCTCTCCAGAGAAAAAATAATAATGGCCAGATGTAATCATCGTCCTCATCTTTTGTTTCAATAAAAACTTCTTTCACTTCTCAGAAAATAAGAAGTGTGAAAAGAGACCACAGGGTCCAATCGACTCTTTCACTTTGACTCTCACTTTATTTAACATGAAATATTACATCAAAATAAATTGGCCTATAGTTTATAGCCTACTGTGTAGTGAATAGTGAGTAAAAGAAAATACTGTATAATTATAAAATAAATTCATAATTTATAGAAAATAAAAGATATTACGCAATGCAGATAAAAATATGAACTATCATAAATAATAATTATAAATTGATTTAATGAATTATAAAATTTTAGAGCATTACGTAAAATTTATCGTGACTTTATTTTTAGTTTATTTTACGTTTTATCTGAAGTCAATTTTCTATTATTAGGGGAAAGCCGCACTTATTGGACCTGCGCATAAAATAGACCGTTGTAAATACGGGAAGCCAACTAGCCACAAGTAAGATCTATCAGTCTCAATACGAAGTTCGCGCATCGGAAAGTGTGTAGAAGTAAAATGGCAGCAATAGAGGAGCGGGTACGGATGCTCTTGTGCGATTGCGATCAACATGAGTCTGCAATCTAAGTTCTGGATGTTTGTACTTGCGGTTTATACTTTGCTGCCGTGTCACTGTATTAACAAGCATTGTTATCTCATAAATTAAGTCAATAGGGCATACACGACAACTCTCGTAATTGTCATTTTCGAGTGGTTGGGAGATATATTCAAGATGACGACGAGTTCTAAATTTGTTTTTGGGTGTTTTTGATATGGGACACTGGTCCAATGTAGGACATTATTATATGATATATTTCCTATAGAACATATCTGGAATACCGAAGTATAAAAGTGCGGAATTTAATTTTCGAAAATTCATTTGGCCGAATGTTGAATTTCTCGAAAAACATACCTCCGAAATTTCGTAATTGACAATCTCTTTGTCCTAGGAAACTCGATATCCGTGATATAAGCGAAAATGTGCTGAGACTGAAGAAGTCGATGAAAATGAGGAATTTCGGTTTTGTTAACTGTGCCGTGAGATAAGCAGGAAGCTAAGATACAATGTATGCGTTGCTGGGATTGAATTCATCAAGATTTTACAAATATTGGGATAGGACAAAAGCATAAGTCTGGTGATGTCTTCCCCTTAAAACCAATGAGCGAATGTCTTCGAGGTTATCTCATCGTGACTATTCAAACTGGAGGTGAATCGGAGCACCGAGTTGGAATCACGATCAACAGAATCGATCCATAATTGACGAATGCCCGTAGACTCCTATATTAAAATTATAATCTTTGGGTTTTCTTCTAAAGGTTGGTTTATTTTTCTAATTACGTCGTCGTTAATAGAATTTCATTGGACAATGCTGGAGTGTGTACCCTGATCTCCGCCTAAAACTTGTAGCCATTGCGGTTGCACTTGCCTGGGCAATTGAAAATTGCAAAGTGTGAACCGCTGCTAAACAGATTTAATTTATAAAATTATTTTTCATTAAAGTTTTCACACGGAATAAATTACGTATCATAATTTTATATACTTATTGTTCTGTAAAATAGTTATTATTAAATGTGACGTGTTTAAACAATACGTAAACTCTACTTTATTGGAATGACAACAATATAACAATAGGCGACGGGTAGCGATGTAAAATCTAGGCAGAGATGAGTTACTTTCCAAAGCTAAGGAGCCTCATCTCTATATTCTGTTGCCCACCTTTACCGTGGAAAATCTTAACTAAATTAACACTAGTGCCACCCATCAAAACGAATTACGTCTTTAAACTCAACAACGAAAAGACTAAATTGAGTCTGTGCCTTAATCCATGTATCGGTTGGTTTTTCTCAGAAAACGAATTACAACGAATTTTTGATGTATCGTTTACCAGAACTTCTCGAGGCAATAAAATTGCTTGTATGTTCATCAATTGCAATCCGGATTCAAAAGAAACAATACTTTACAGTCACGACAACACTTCGGATCTCGGACTTCTCAGTTATTATTTACTGTCTTTGGGAAGAAGAATGGGTCATAACGTATTCACTTACGATTATTCCGGATACGGACAGAGCACCGGAAAACCTTCAGAATGCAATTTACTCGCGGATGCGGAAGCTGCCTGGGGTTTTCTTCAAGTTAGACATAATATCGGTCCCAAACGAATTATTCTGTATGGTCAAGATATAGGAGCGATACCTACCATCGATCTGGCTTCTAGATATAAAGTGGCCGGAGTGGTTCTACATTCTCCTCTCCTTTCTGTATCTCGTCTGATATTACCCATATTCAAGAATATAAAGTACCGTTTCAGTCTTCCGAGTGAGAAATTAGAGAAAGTGTCAAAAATTAAATCGCCGACTCTCATTATTTATGGCACCAAAGACAAAACAATCAGTTTCGATTGCGTATTTGCAATTTTCAAAAACTGTTCTCGCGCGGTCAAACCTTTATGGATAGAAGGTGCCAAACACGGAAACATCCACTACTACAGACAATACGTCGATCGTCTGAAGACGTTCCTTAACAACGAAATCTGGAAAAATAAACTGAAGAGATTATCGGTATTGACTATTCCAACTCTGAATAATCCACAACCTTCGATGTCGGCGTAACAATGCCGATAGAATCAGTTAAGGAATTCGTTAAATGTCAAAAATTTCAATTGCCTTTAACATTTTGATAACAAAAAAAATATTAAATAAAATATCAAATAAGTTATTTTCTTGTTATTTTATGAATATAAATTATGTCTTTTTCGTAAAATAATTATTGTTAAAATTAATTCCGGACAGAAAAATAGAGAATAAAAATGAATTTTTATAATGACTCAGAAATATTCGTATGTTTGTGTATGGATGTATTGAGTAAGTATTGATATATCCATCGTTATCCTGCGCGTCGACTTTAATTCTTAAGATTTCTACAGTAAGTGGGTCATTTATTAAAATGCCGCAAAATCGTTTAATTTCTGCTTATCTATTATTGACAGACAACAGTCACTCTCTTTAATTCATTTATTTCGTTTTTAGCGAAAAAAAAAACAGAATTTTAAGTTACACATATTTCCTCTCATTCTTAGCATACGCTTCCTGTTTCAGAGATGTTTCTTGTGGCACAAAATATGCAAATACACAATTTGTTATTCCGGAAAAACAAAGGAAACGGAAATCTTTTTCTTCGTATATTTGTGGAAGGTCAATCGACGGTTAAATTATTTTTAATCTTTGCCTCATTGGGACAACGAATGCCACCGGTGCAGAACTAGGTGAGTGCTATGGACGCGCGAATATGCCGATGCCAAAGACATACCACCCTAAAGTGCGGCATTAAAGAATGATGGCTAATATAGACTGTTTTTATTTTTAAATTTGAAATTTTGAATAGAAGCGGTCAGATAAAGTTAAAAAATTAACCGACCGTGTATTAAACTCCATCAAAAAAGCAACATATTTGCAGAATGTTAAGTGTAATTCTTTTGTAGAAGAAGGAATTTGTGTTTTTATAAAATTTTGGCACGTAAATCTTATATAAGCTGATAATTAATGCATAAGAATTGTCCAAATGAAAAGTGAACACATATCAGAACTGGCAAACATTTATTGCGAATCTAAAAGAAATCTCCATGTTTGTTTAAGCAAAGATCCCAGTGTCTCACACGCAGATGTCAATGGCTGGTGGCTAATTCTGGTGGTAAAAAAATTCTTTGACCTTATCCTTTACTTCATCGTCCGACATGAATCTTTGCCCTGGAAAGTTTTCTTGAGATCCGAAAATGGGAACGTTGTAGTTCAAGTTGTAATTCGTCTGTCACTTCTGAGTGCCGTCCACTGCAGAGATTACGATGTATGCCTGACTTGCGGGTTGTTGTTAAATTCAGCACTGCTCTGCAGCGCTGCCGCTTAGGCTGCAAGTGCGCTGCGATCGCTGCTGAATGTGTTTTAACAACGCACACGGGGCAGCGCTGCAGTTCCAAAATGGCGGCTCTCAGTGCAATTGTTGGAATGTTTAACGAATTATTTAATTCGAAAAATTTTAAAAGAAATTCATTTTTGCGATACAATGTCTTATTTAGGAAGCGTAAACATGACGACGAAGTAATTGCTGGAATGGCAAGATCTGTTGTGGTGCAACCGCGGAAAAAATTATGAGGAAATTATTCCTCGATACAGTGATCTGGATTTTAAAGGCCACTTCAGACTTCAGCGTGAAAGTGTCGAATACCTTTGCCAGATTCTGAATTTAAAAGAAACGAAGAAAATTGGACGGTCATCCATTACAGAGGTAAAAAAAGAAAAGGTCGTCCTATTGTCCTTATGGATTTTAGGAAATCAGGAATCCTTTAGAGGCGTAGGTGACCGTTTTGGACTAGATAAAGGACATGCTCATAGGTTGTTCATAGTATTTTGTAAAGGTGTTTGTAATTTAAAAGAAATTTTCATTAAATGGCCAGTTGATAAGGATGCCCAAGAAGTGGTAAAAAACTTTTCATCATTAAGGGGCAGAAACAGCTTTCCAAATGTCTTTGGATGTGTTGATGGGACATTAATACAAGTAACAGTTTGTCATCATGAAAAGCAAGAATATTACAGCAGGAAGCAGTGCACTGCAGTCATACTTCAAGGGATCTGCAGAAGTGACAAAATGTTTACTGCAGTTTATGCTGGCTGGCCGGGATCTGCACATGATGCAAGGGTGTGGCGAAACAGTGATGTAGGGATTGGGTTATCAAATAAAACTCTCCCACTCCCAGAGAACTGCCATTTACTTGGTGACTCAGCATACCCACTAGAGACATATTTGATGGTTCCTTACAAGGACAATGGACATCTGAATTCCAAACAGAAATATTTTAATAAAAGACTAAGTTCATCTCGCATAGTAATAGAACAAGCATATGGTGATCTGTTTGGACGCTTTCGTCGACTGAAATTTTTGTTCGTAAGAAACAAGCAATACTTAACTAAAATTATTCTTACTGCTTGTGTTTTACATAATCTTTGTATTCTACAAAGTGATGTTAGTCCAGATGAGGATAAACATTTCACTCCTTTCCAGCCTCACCCAAGCCAACATTCAACTAATGCAGCAAATAATAAGAGGGATGCTATTGCTGATTATCTTTATGGTGTCATGAGACTACAAAATAGTAGTATAGGAGACAATTCACAAGAAAGTGATAATCTAGTGTAAGGATACAATGACGAGGAGACTAGACGAAATTTGTTTTTAATACAATAATATATTTGAAACTGGCTGATCAACCCAGCATGTATGAAACCGGTGTGTTAGAAATGTATTTATTAGCCTTTATTATCAGAAACTTTATTAAAATATATGTGTAAAATCATATAAATTTAAAATTTTATGTACAATTTTATCATTTTCTCATTAGTTATATGAAATCATTTAATAAATGTTATTCTCACTAATACAATTCATTGAATTATACTTAAGTTAAATAATTGGGGAAAATGTAAAAATTGAGCAAAGATTAAAAATATCAAATGTAAAAATTATTGTAAATAAAACAAGTCAGATGCAATGAATTTACATATTGTTATTTTATTTTTCTGCAATTTTTTGCAATTCATTTAGAACAGAACTCATCATGTTCATTCTCTTCTCTTCACATTCTTTCTCTTGTTTCAAACGCTTTTCTTCGATCTTTTTAAATTGCTGCCAGTGCTGATCTTCTCTCTCACGATCCTCTTTCTTTTCTTGTTCTTGCTTACTGGCCCAAGCTTGAAACCAATCTGGTGGATCTTCTTTTCTTTTTCTTTTTAAGCGAATAATCAACATTTATGCGTTATTCTGAAAAAGTAATTTTACAAAAATTTTCTAGCAGGAATAATCACAAAATATCTATCACGGACAACTTAAGATTCCCGTGAAAATTTTCGTTTACGATACTTATTTACTGACATACTATTCAATTTATATTTCTAAGATGTTGAAGTATGCAAATTGTTTTTCTCACACAGCTCTGTATGAGGGCCTTTTCACCAAGCTCAATCGGCAATGCTTACAATAGGGTAGCAGGTTGTGAGTAACGGGGCCCGACATAACTAATATGGATCAATCCCGAAAAATTTCTGTGGTTTTTCTTAAGTTTAATAAACCGGTACTTTTTGTGTTTTTTTATTTGTTTGAATTATTGTTGAACTGACTGTTTATTTCATATATTTCTTTATCTGAACTCTTGCTTTCATATTAACTCATACTACGTTATTACAGATATCAATCTCTACATATATAATCGAGGAGTTGGTAACAATATTAAGTCCGAGATATGACATATATTATTTGCCTATCTACTCACCCTCTCGACCTTTCTCAACCAAACTTTAACAGCAAAAATGCCCCTTATACGCAAAAATGCCCTTATACGCCCCTTATATACCAAATCTAACTATATTACTTGTAAATTATTAGAAGGACAGAAGAAACGATCGATATTATATTACAGAATGAATGGTTGTACCGTTCCTAGTATTAGAAACTTTTCTGAAAAAATACCAATTGTCTATGAAGTGTTCTTTCTGTTAACTGATATCTTCCGTGTACTCGTGATTTGAAAAAGCTGTAAAACATTCGTTCTGCTTCGTGGTATTGTTCCAACTGTGTCTCACGAAAAAAAGAGTCTAAAGGCCACAATCACTCTATACGAATAGTAGACATGACACAAGAAAGGATGTAAGGAATAAATGTATTTTAAATGTAAAATATTACTAAATAGATATAATAAACATTCCAGTTATATTTTGTTAGTTTTATGTTCGAGGAATATAAATAAAACTGGTGATATTTAAGACACCAAACTTAAATAATTGCGAAAATACAATAAAAATAAAACACCAATCAGAGATTTGTTTACTTTAAAATATTTTTCAATTTTATAAACTTTTTATAATTTATTTTTCAATTTTCAAAATCTTATAAAGTATTTACAATATTTAAAGTGAATTTTAAAGAAAATAACAAAAATATATTGTTATTTTAATCGAGTGTAGTAATCACTACACTGAAAATTGTACACATTGTCTAATCTGCGTACAATCTTCATTCAGAAAAATATTACATTATCCGTTTTATACATGGAAAAAGTAAATTTCCAAGCCTGCGAAGAACACGTCTGAATACGTCCACGCATCTTGTTACGCCCTAAAAAAAGATTTTCATAAATTAACGATAATAAAACTCATTTTAATATATTTTATACATAATTGATGAAATAAAATCTAAAATTTTAGTTATTTACAATTAAACATAATAAACAATTGCAAAAATAAAACAATTTAAACATATTTTCTCACTTTTTTTTGTGTTTGTGGCATGGATTTCTCTTCGAATAAACATTCAGAGGCAGCATATTTGATTTCTTTCACATCAGTTTTATTTAAGATTTTGGTATTGTCCTCTTCGTCTTTCTTATGATTTTCTGAAAGAAAAACGATTTTATGATTTAAAAATAAATCATTTATTCATTAAAAATTATAACACCGTCATCACGTATACACACAATATTAAACAAGAATAAAATAAGGACTGAAGGATTTCATTTGTAACGAAGACAATACAAATTTACAAGTGTTTTTTATACATTAACGGATTATCGGTGTACTTCGTATAGAAAGAAATCTTGTTATTACTCTCTTATTAAAATTTAAGTATATACTGTAATATTATATTGATAACAAGAAGTCCTTTCGTTCGTACATTTTCATGAATAAGAATTAATTTATAAACTATACCAATAAATATTAAACAAAGTTATAAATTATAATGTGTGTTGAGATATTATCTGTTAGTGCAATTATTTCATGTCAATGTTAATGCGACTTAAAGGTTGATAAAGATTAATAAATCAATGTCTTGTGAGTTACATTATTAGTGTTTTATGATTTATTGTTTTTTAATGTTTTATGACTGTTTTGTTGTAAGATTTAAATTAGTTTAATCAGTATGAAATTCTTTTTCATTAGAAAAATCTCTGTATACATTAAAGGATGTTCTAAAAGAGTTACTTCAACTTGAATTTTTTATGAATATAATAAACAATTAAAGCAAATCAACTTAAAAGACTGAAGACTTGGAAATAATATCATGCAATGTTGAGTTATACAAAGGGAAAATCAAACATAAACTATCAAATATTTATTCTCTTACCTTCAAATATTACTAATCCGATTTCATCTCTTACGGCATTTTCATTGATTTTTGAAACTTCTATATTTGGATCAAATTCATTTTCATTTAATTGCATGGCGACAATTTCATTTTTTGATATTTCTTGACTTGTATCAGATAATTCTTTAATTAAATTTTCTTCAATTAATTTTCTACAATTATCCATTTGAGATAAATTGTCTGCAAGGTTTTTGTAATTTTCCGTAGGTAATTCGTCACTAATTTCGTACATTTCTGTTGTTAAATTAGATTTTTGTGATTCGACATAAATCGGTGTCGACGTCGAGCTGATTAATACTAGTTCACATGTTTCGTGAACAGGCGAATGATCTTGAACCATTATAATGTTTTGATCCGTAATACAATCGTCAAATAGTTTATTTCCGTTTATGGTATCAGCAACTTTTTCTTGAATTGAAATTGTATCTAATTCAATGCTATAATCAGTTTCGGACAGAACACTTTCATAGTCAAGCTCCTCCTCTTCGTATATTACATCACATACCAACGATTTATGTTCCAGCTCCATAAACGCTTTAAATAACGGTCGTAGTGTAAAACCGTCATTTACAATCGATGTGATTTGTGCTGGAGACAATAGCGGTTTTGGCACGTTCTTCTGAAAATTGAAATTTCAAATTATTACTTCAACATTAAATGAACTTCAACCGAATAATCGTTTAACAGTTTATTGTAAAGTAATAGCCAAATTACTAAGGGAATTTAATAACATATTCATAGGCATGTGTTTCTACAAATACATAGTAAATAAATAATACAGCAAGCCTCTGTTAGATATACAGTAGACCCCTCCATAACACTGTAAATAATTCCGTGTTAGATGAATTTCATGTTGTACGAGTCACTTAGATTTTACAAATACGTGTTCCGGGCTGTAAACGGCTCACGTATTTGTAGAATCTAAGTGACTCGTACAACATAGAATTCATATAACACGAAATTATCTACAGTGTTATAGGTACACTGTACACTGTATAACTTTATAGATACACTGTATAGATACACTGTATAACTTTCGGATTGAACCGAAAGCCATATGATTTTAATTCAAAATATTCCCCAGAACAGAGTTGCAATAAATATATTTTGAGTAATGCTTAATACTATAATAACATTGTATTTATCAATATTCAATGTTTACATGATATCAGACATAAAAAGTTTCTGAATAATTTAATTTAATTTAAACTTACACTTGGAAACTCTTCTGTAGCGTCGAATTCACTAAAAGTATCTTCATTTTTACTATTTGTAATTCTATTTTCAGACACTTTTTCATATTTTTCTTTTGTAATATCTTTCTCTGAATTATTAACATATTCTGCTGAACTGTTATATCCCAAATAAGTTTCAGACATTTGACTTTGATTAGAGTCTTTTATTTCAAACTCGCAAACTAAAGTAAAACAAAACGTGAAACTTAGTTAAAGGAATACTAGTTTTATATAACCATTAAAATAGAATATATTTATGAAAATTACAATTGTATCCATTCAATAAATATATCGAGTTAGTATTCTTTAAAAAATGTTTTCGGAGTTACCAAAATTTTCAGAATACAGTCGACCCCCCTATAATACTGTTGATTATTCCGTTTTATATGAATTCCATGTTGTACGAGTCACTTAGATTTTACAAATACGTGTGCAGGGCTGTGAACGGCTCACGTATTTGTAAAATCTAACTGACTCGTACAACATGAAATTCATATAAAACGAAATAATCAACAGTGTTATAGGGGGTCGACTGTATCTGTCTTTTTGTGTCTTTTTTAATATTTTTTAAAGTAATTTGTCAAAATTTCTTGTATAGAGTGTATATATCAGTGAGATAGGATCTATGAATATAATCAGACGTAACTAAAAAGGGATCAACACTATGCTTATAATTTCTCATAAAGAGAAATAAGAAGGAAATCGTCGTGAAAAAGTTATGTTTACTTAATACTGGTATACGCCTTAATCGTTCTACATACAGTTATGATAATTATTTAATATCTGTGCCTTACATATTTTATTTATAAATCAAATCTGAATTTCTGTCCTTATTATGCGTTGAAATCAAACGTATAATTTACTATTTATATACTTTAAATCAAAACGTTAATTCTATAAATTATAAATCAACTGGAAGTTCAATGAAAAAATTTTCTGCAATTTATAACCTCTGTAGAAAGACTTTATTCCAATAATGATGAATGACGTTGTGATTTTCTGTTAGATAAATACTGTAATTTCGTAAATTTTAACCAGTAAAATTGTCGGAGCGAGGCGAAGCCGAGTGACGACTAACACTTGACTTCATGCATTCCTTTTTAACATTATAACTCTAGAATGAGTTGTCCGATCTTGATGAAATTTTCTAGGACGACTCATCATCACATAAAGATGAACTGATTAAAATTTCAACTCTCAAAAATGATCAATTTTTGTAGAACTGGAGATAGTGGTCAAAACGATGGTCGCGTTTTTCTAAAGTATTAGAGGTCAAAATGAATTGACTAAGCCTACGTCCTATGCGGCAGCATCTATTTATCGAGTCTATTTATCCAGAATTAAACTTGATCAGTTCCAAACGGCAGTAGAGCTATATCCAACAAACGATCAAGTTAAACAAAAGAAAAAAATCTACTTTCACTCAACTGGGTGCCCCGTTATTTATATAGCATCTGAAAACACTCCAGATATTGTACTGCATTTGTCCAAAGATGACTCGGTCTCCCCAAGTATTTGATTCCTCAGTTAATGCCAGAATCATGCTGAGAGTAAACTTATGGGTGCAAGGTCTCGTCAATGGTTCACTAGGAACTATACGCTACATTATATATGCTCCTAATGCTCACCCTCCAGTCCTTCCTCTATTTATTTTAGTAGAATTCGATAGCTATTAGGAACCGTTCATCTATGGTCATTTGTTTTCAATAATTCCCATAACACGCTCTTTGAATGATAGCAGTATATTGCGATCTTGTAGACAATTTCCCCTTACCTTAGCATATTCAAAGACTATACATAAATCAGAGGTATTAACTCTTCCAAAAATCAAAATATAGGTAAAAAAGAGTATATATAGATATAGATAAAGAGTAGATATAAATAAAATAGGTAGATATAGATAAAAAGTAGAGTTAATAGATATAGATAAAAAGTAGAGTTAATAGATATAGATAAAAAGTAGAGTTAGTAGATATAGATAAAAAGAGTAGATATAAGTAAAAAAGAGACAGCTATTGGTCTTTCCATGTTGCATTGAGTCGAGTGAAAAAATAATTGACATAGTATTTTTAAAGAGTTACAATAAAGATCACTACGAGTCAATCTGTAAGTCAAAGGCCCATAGTGATTTAATTTCATGAGACGTTGGCATAGCAATTAATGGCTTATTCAGAGCTTATATTTGTACCTTTAAATGATTCATTAGAAATCAAATATATTGTTGAGAACTAATGATTCTTTGTCTGTTTTTACCCTTATAATCTAGAAAATGAAGGTGCGAGCTGCCTTGCTCCGACTACACGCTGATACAGCGTTACTTAACTAGTTTTTATGGAAACACAACTTTCCCATCATCAAATATCACCGCACATCACTGACAATTAATATATCATTATCGAATTCTTAGGAGAATAATATTGATAAAATTTACCTTTTTGTAGCTGATGAATCGATTCTGATGAAAAATGGTTTGGTTCTACTGAGTTAAAAGAAGAAAGAGCTGCTGACTCATATCTGGAAAACTCTTTTGGTTTCTCGTATTCAGGAAAAACAGATGGCATCTTTCCATCTTCAAATAACTTTGGCTGTAGACAATGTTCCAGCATTTGTGTTGGCAGTGAGGACTGCTGGAGTTCTACCAGTGGTTCATATACGATTATTTCTGTACATAGCCTATTTTCAGTTATATCTGCTTCAGGCACAAAATTAATAATTTCTGGGGCAGGCCAATGTTCGTTTAAATTTGAGTGAGGCCCGTATCTAAAATTTTCTATAGCCAGCCATTGTTGATTTATATCTGGTTGCGGCCCAAATCTGACATTTTCTGAGTCTGGCCCATGTTCATATGTATTTTCATATGGCCCATATCCATATATATTTCCATATGGCTCATATCCATAATATTCTGGAGCCGACCACTGTTGATTTATATCTGGTTGTGGCCCAAATCCGACATTTTCTGAGTCTGGCCCATGTTCATATGTATTTTCATATGGCCCATATCCATAATATTCTGGAGCCGACCACTGTTGATTTATATCTGGTTGTGGCCCAAATCCGACATTTTCTGAGTCTGGCCCATGTTCATATGTATTTTCATATGGCCCATATCCATAATATTCTGGAGCCGACCACTGTTGATTTATATCTGGTTGTGGCCCAAATCCGACATTTTCTGAGTCTGGCCCATGTTCATATGTATTTTCATATGGCCCATATCCATAATATTCTGGAGCCGACCACTGTTGATTTATATCTGGTTGTGGCCCAAATCCGACATTTTCTGAGTCTGGCCCATGTTCATATGTATTTTCATATGGCCCATATCCATATATACTTTCATATGGCCCATTTCCATAATATTCTGGAACCGGCCCATATCCATAATATTCTGGAACCGGCCCATATCCATATTCACCCACTTGAGGTTCGCACTGCTGATATTCTGGCAGTATTCCACTTTCTGAGCATTCTGTATTCGGCCCATATTCAGGCATTCCTGCCCATAATTCATACGGAACAAAGAATATTGTATACTGAAATAACAAGTAAGAAATTGCACTATAAAAAAATTAATTTAGAATTCATATCTTAAGTTTCTATCTGTAATAATCTAACAACACATGTCAGCCAGATTGCATGGCCGGATGACCATGCATTCAAATTGGCAGCTCTGGGGGACCCGGGATCGAATCCAGACCAGCGAAAAATCACCAGGAATTTTTAAGGGGGTGGTCTGTCTGGATATGTTGAGCCCCATCCCTCATCACCCGGTTGCCCCATTGTGGCCTGGCCGAACCCATAAATGGCTAGTTAAAGAAGTAGTAGTGCCACAAAAAGGACAGAGTTAAAAAGAAAAAAGACAGCCAGATTTCCAGCACTCGAAGTAGCAGCCTACCGCTCACGAGAACTCTGGATCGAAACATGACAGGTCGAAAAATTCCCAGTATATTTAATGCATTTTATAAAAAGAATGCAGTCTCAGTAGATTTTAAATACCATTCAAAATGCATTTGTAGCACAGTAAACAAGAGGTAATACTTCATACAGGAAGATGCATTTTGAAAATTGTTTGCCATTGTTAATTGTAATTTCTAAAAAAGTTCTAATTTAACATCACATTTAGTAAAAAATTATTTGTATTTTTCTCTGTTTTTTAGTAGAAAATTTAATCAAGATATTTAAAAATGTCGAGAAGAAAATTTCGGGTATTAAAACAATTTATAATTGCTACTTTTTGTTAAACAATGTTTTAAAGTTATACGAAATTTATTGAAATTATTAACTGATTAAAGTTTTTCGATATTGTATTTCTGAATTCATAATATCACAAAAATAGTATTTAGTGCATTATGATAATCAAATATATACTTGTTATGTTTTAACTACGTAAAAAAGTATGTTACGTAATTGAAATATAACAAGCATACATTAAATATTATTTATTTTACGTTTATCTAAGACATAAAGTAAAATTTTCTATTACACTGACCTGATAAGCATACAGAACATAATTGTCATATCCAAATGACGAATAAACTTCATTAGAAAAGCACTGATAACCTGTAAAAAAACATTTTTTAATAATTATTTATTTTCTAACAGACTATTGATATACTTAATTGTATTAATGAAACAATAAACTGTAAAAAACAAAGCTGCAAGTCACGATCAAGTTCTTAACCCTTTAGGCTCTGCGATTAAATTATTGTTATTGATATCAACCCATTTCGATTATTTATTAATTATTATAGTGATTATTTTTATATTTGTCTATTTAATGCATCTTCACGAANCCTACAATTTTTTGTTTATAACGTAGTTTATACGGATTATTTTCAAAAAAATATACGTATTTTGGAAATGTTGAGTCGAATTACTCTAGAATCGATTAATTTTATGAAAGAAAACCTTTCAAACAGCCGTAGTCCGTAAACTATGATTCCTACAAAATTGATTCATAAAGAACGGAACGTATCTACCGTCTTATAGGGGGATCTACTGTATATGCTTGTTATGTTTTAACTACGTAAAAAAGTATTTTACGTAGTTAAAATATAACACGCATATTAAATATTATTTATTTTACGTTTATCTAAGACATAAAGTAAAATTTTCTATTACACTGACCTGATAAGCATACAGAACATAATTGTCATATCCAAATGACGAATAAACTTCATTAGAAAAGCAGTGATAACCTGTGAAAAAACATTTTTTAATAATTATTTATTTTCTAACAGACTACTGATATACTTAATTGTATTAATGAAACAATAAACTGTAAAGAACAAAGCTGCAAGTAACGATCAAGTTCTTAACCCTTTAGGCTCTGCGATTAATATTATTATTATTGTTATTAACCCATTTCGATTATATATATAGATCTGTTATTCTAATTTCTTTTTTAATTTCAACATGAGATAAAACTGCAAATGAAAAGTAATTATTATAATGATTATTTCCATATTTGTCTATTTAATGCAACTTCACGAATTTAAATAATAAAAAATCCCGTTATCTCCCTTGAATTGAAATAAGGATTTGATTTATAATGCAAATGTTATTAATGACATTAAACATCCCATTGAAAGCAAATAATATAGCAGCGGTGCTAATCGTATTGACTTTATAATAATTTTATTCATCTTTTAACCCTACTTTTAAAATGTTAGGACAATAACATTGTTTATTATAGCATTATGGACACGCTGTAAACTAATCAGTAAAATTATACAAATAATCTGATAATTTAACTTACTTTCAGCATTCATTTTCGCAAAAGTATTTCGCTTTCGAACAAATCGCATCCAACAACAATCGCTTGTAATCAACAATAGGATTTCACAATTGTTGAAATTATATTGTTAGCTCTTTTTAATAATGTCGGGACACCCCTAGTGAGGAACATAGAAGTCCACGTTTTTTCAGCTGTGTTCTCGGGGGTTTTTTTTACAGCGGAAGGTCTCTGTAAACTTATATTTGCTGTCATCTGACTGTATATTTCCAAGATAAATAAACGTTTTGTTTTGTTTAGAATATGTCTGATTTCGTTCAAGAACCTTGTAACGTCGTGTTATAACATCTGTCGCAGTCGACAAGATACTTTTAATGCTGTAAGATAGGGAAATTTATTACACCAAAAAGGAGTTCGAATAAGCTTGATGAAAACATTGAGTGAACTTACGGCTAATATTGATAAAACTGTGGTAAATCTTTTGTGGGGTTGTCTGTCTACAACAGCGGTTCTTAACCTGGGGTGCGTGCACCCCCTGAGGGTGCGAAAGAGCATTTCCAGGGGTATGAGAGAAATTTCAAAAATATAAAAAAGTAAGAACGAGGCGACTGTATTCTCTACAAACCGTGGTATCCAGCAACATGGCACCTCCACTTCTTCACTCTCTACTCTACTGTCACTCAGCACATAGCGCTTGTCATCAGTCATCAGTACATGCAGTTAATGTAGTCACATTGTCTCGTGCAGTACAGAAACTAGTTGCGACCTCTTTGCTTACCATAAATACAGCACTTTTGCACATCAAAACAAAAGCCAGAGATCGCTTAAATGCATCTGATGACTTACACGTGGCTCTTTCAAAAAAAAGAGCATCGTTATAATAGAATTATTATGAATAAACAAAAACAACCTAGTCATTAAAATTTAAATAATGCTTTTTATGTTATATAGTAATATATATTGTAAATAAACGCGGCATTTGTTTATGCAATAAATGTTTTTTTTTCTTAAATAAAAAATATAAACACATTTTTAAGGGGGTGCAAGAGCTTATTTTCAGATTCAAGGGGATGCTGACTACTAAAAAGGTTAAGAACCGCTGGTCTACAATGACGACAGACTGATAGAGTTAGATCCAAGGGTAAAAGGAAGGATTTTCCAAAATGATAACGAATTTTCGTCTGAAGCCCATTTCGTTGCCGACTACCAAAGCAGATATATGCTGTTGGAGACCAGGTTGAAGACGCTAACCAAAGACGTAGACATTGGAAGTGTCAGAGATTCTGCAGACAAGTCATCGGCAGGTAAGAAGTCACAGTATCGCTTGCCAAAGTTAGAATTGGTGAAGTTTGATGGTAACCACAGAGGGTGGCTTAAGTTTTGGCGTCCATTTAAAGGGATTCATGAAAATGAAAGTATTTCAGTGGAGGATAAATTTTAGTATCATCTTTAGGGCATTAAGGAGAAATCCAAGGCACGCAGATAGTTCTTAAGAAGTAATTTTCACATTCTTTATAGCCGAAGTACGTAAACTCTAATTTAGATGTTCATTAAGTACAGATAAACCACCATTATTCGGTGATTTTATCTACTCGATTTTTGTAAAACATACTTCCATTTATTAAGCTTACAGTTATAATTTCCTACGTGTGGGAAGATGTACTATATTTGAAATGAATGTCAAACAGAACATTTCTTCTTTTGTTGCAAAGCAACACTTAACTGAACAAAGGAAAAAAAATAGAATAAATCCGCTCACCACCTGCAAGTATATCAGAATTAAATTAAATTTCAGTTTCAATATTTTATAAGAATTACAAATTTACGACCCTCAATGCATTTTCTGACAGAGAATTATTTTAATTACTAACGTTTTCAACCTACTCTTATAGGCCATCATCAGGTTTTTTAAAACCGTTTTTAGAGACTGTTCCACAAGTAGAACATTCCATTTAAATTTTAATTTTTGAAAAATTCTAAATACAAAATTTAAATGAGTTTACATTAAAATTTTTCATCTTACTTATTTTTTCGTATTATAATTTATAGTTTACGAAAACGATTATAGGTGATATAGTAGGAAAAAAAACCACCTTCCAACAACACAATAAAACCCACGTAAAAGTAAAAAAATAAACAATAAATTTGAACAATATGTTCACAATACATGCAAACTCCACAGGCATTCAAAAATGGGCACTATTCGGATACATTTATTTTTAGTTGTGTTTTTTTTTAATATTTTTCCTAATTCTTTCACGTTAAATCTTGCGTGACGAAAGTATTAATTAGTGTAGAACATCCCATTATTTTTATTTTTTGTTTAAAAGTAGAGTTAGATCCACATGCACAAAATGCATCTATTGTATTTTGAATAGTTTCTATGACAAAATTTTGTTCAAATTATGCAAAATTTAAACTATCGTGACATAGAGACCATCGTATTTTTGTTTGTAGATTGCTCCTTCTCTACATTTTGTGTTTCTGAATTAGTAAAATTGAAAAAAGCGTCAAATTTTTATACAAGTTGTGATCACATTTTAAGAAACATCTTTCGTCGAAACGAAAACTTAAAATATTAGATATTACTTTTAACTTAAAATTATGACAATGGAATATATATGAGAAAATATTGTTATTCTCTTATCTTCTGCTTCTTCCACTGGCAAGCAGACAACCGAAGCCGCAATATAAGATTTCTTCAGGAGAGTGAACTGTACACTTTTCGTAAATTACATTGGATAAACTAATTGCAAGTATTTAATAAAGCTATTTACAATTACTTTTTACTAGAGATTTTTTGTCATGTTTTCTTAAATTGGAGCTACATTGATTGATTATACAATAGACTCCCTAGATTTTACAAATACGTGAGCCGTTCACAGCCCGGCGCACGCAATTTTAAAATCTAAGTGACTCGTACAACATGGAATTCATATAACACGGAATTATCAACAGTGTTATAGGGGGTCTACTGTACTAATTGCCATTGTTTGAAATGTTAATAATGTTAACCTTTATATACATTCACAAGCATATACTTACCATTTTCATTTGCGGTAATGGTTGACTGCATCCACATGTACTGTATGTATTTTGATCGACATGGTCGGCTTTTTCGGCACAAAGCCGTTTTTAATTGACAACGACTGTAGTTATGAAAATTTACCACACATTTAAATGTTATTTATATTTTCATGTACTTTAAGATATTATTCCTTCGCCCCCGCGTATCCACTGTTGGACATTAACGACAAACCTGCAGATGATGCTGGGTTGCAGGTCCTATGGAAAATTCTCGAACACGCACAAACTTCGGACTTTCCCTTGTAATTTAATTTTGTTCGTAATTAGTCCTCTCGCTCATATGTAGCCATTCCAAAATTTTATATGTATTCCCTCTAACATAATTGACTGGGATTTCGTTATTTCACTGATTAGATAACTTTTTTCTTTTATTCTGGTACTAGAAATGCTTTGTGTATCTACAAAATTCAAACCGTTTATCTCTGGAATGTCTAATATCGTTACTTTTGCAAAAGTTTATTTAAGTATATTAATTTGTTCTATAAACTAATCTCCGCTTTCATTATAATTAATAAAGATTTTTTCAATATAAAGGGATTGAAACACGATAACGGAATATTCTTACGATATAAATCTTATTTTAAATATATCGCATTGGAAATGGTAAGAAACTTTATAAATTTCATACAATTGTCTTACCCGGGCTAATTGTCTATGATCTAAATGGGTCATACATTCCAGGTTTGTGTAACTATAATTTCCTAATACTACGTTCGCACACAATCCACGACTCATTTCGATCTCGATTTACCTACAATCTGGATTGTGACTGTCGCTAGTCGAACGTCGTGCTGTTCGCACAGGCAGTCCGCTCGAGAAGAACCTGGCTATTACACGCGATCATAAAACTGACGTAACTACGCGGTAAGTCACAAACACCAACAAACAAAATGGAAGTTTTGGTTAGAAATAAATACTTTTTCTTGCCATACATCTAATAATAGACAGATGTCGTCGTCTCTCCAGATGTCTTTTTTATTTCTCTGTCGATAGCCCGACACGTGTTCCGCAGCCATCTTATATTTTCTCGCGCGCGTGGGATTGTAGGATCTCTCTTATGACTGGATCTAGTTTCGAGAACTCTCTCTCCAGTCGATCGCGATTGAACCTCGTTTCAGTCGAGATTGAAACGGTCGAGAGCGTTCGCACCACGGAACACTCTCCGACCTTAGTCACAATCTAGATCGAAATGCTCGAAGCGAACGGGGTATAAGGATGTTTCATAAGAATAGGCTGAAAGCGTTTGAATATTAAATTGTAGTAAGCTCAGCAAGTGTTTTGGTGTTTAATTTAGTTATAATATTTCAAATTTACATAAATTTAAAAAATAATAAATAATTCCACATTAATAAAACAACTCAAATATACAGTGCTAAATTATTTAATTTTTTTCAGAGTAAACCAAATCTAAATAAATAAAAATAAATACATATATAATAATGGAATTTCTCAAAGGTTATGGCAAATAGGCTAAATAAAATAACATGGAAAAAACATGATCAGCAATGGGCTAATTCTTTTATTTTAAACACTAGGGATAACTCACCTTTGGAAAAATCAGTCACCTTTAAAATCGTGGCTCCGGTGAGACGAATATCCACAATTAGCCCTTTTTGAAACTGTCAAGACCTTCGATTTTTCCATTTTCATAAACTTAATGACTATATTGACCAGCAGCATTCTTAAATAGAAGCTTCTGAACACATTGTGACTCATATGACTCAAGTGTTTTGCATATAAGCTGCAAAATTACATTTATTTAATATGCATGGAGTTTCTAATTCATTGGCCAGTGAATTAGAAACTCCATGAGAAAATATATGAGTAATTAAGGACAAGAAGCGCGTATCAAAATCAGTGGCGTGCCGTCATTAGAAGCGTTGGAAGCGCCGCTTCCCTCGTATTCTCTAAAAAATAAATAAATATTAATTTTAATTATATGAAAATAATCGCACAATATTTTATTATAACCGCATTATGTATCTTATTACAAATTTCTA